CCAATAAAAATAAAAATATAATAAGGATACGAACACAAAAAGAAACATAAAAATTAAAACAAAAAATAAGTAAGAATCAAGAAAAACGAGCAAATAATTAGATAAATAAATAAAATAAGATGAAAAATTCAAGACGAACAACAAAACAAAAAGGTAAGAATTTAAACACGGTAGGCAAATTACAAAAATAGGCTAATCGGGCATAAGAGAATAGGCCACATAATCGAAATCAAACTCACAATTACATATAAAACCTAACCCTAAGTACGTCCCTAGTGGAGTCGTCATTCCGCCGCAAGGGCCAGTCGGACGATGAGGTGAAATATAGGAAAAATGATTGGAGTCGCCACCTAGTATTACGATTACTAGGAAACCTCATGATCGGTCCGTTCGCAGTTTTTGATAAGGGGTTTATTACGTGTAGGGAAGATCAAAAGTCACCCTACCTAGTCTTACCTAAGGCAAGTCGTATCGTATGTAACATTGGTTTGATTTTTTTATGAAAATGTCCCCTAGTAGAGTGATCCGGGACTCGGTCGGTCGGAGATCTTGTCCTCACTTTATAATGGATGGCTAGAAATGATGGCAAAATAGATAAAACAAAAAAAAATAGTAAAAATTAACAACTTAGGTCAAAATAGGTAAAAAATCGACAACTTAAGCAAAAATAGGCAAAAATCGATAACTTAGGCAAAAACAAGCGAGAAATCGACAACTTAGGCAAAACTAGGCTAAAATCGGCAACTTAGGCAAAAATAGGCAAAAATGACAACGAAAGCAAAAATTGACGACAAAAAACGAAAGCGACGACTTTGGCTAAAATAGGCTAAAATTGGTAACGAAAAGCAAAAATCAACGGCTTATGCTAAAAATGGGCTAAAATCGACGGCGAAATAAAAAATTACGAACTTGAGCTAGAATAGGCTAAAATCGACGATGAAATCAAAAGATCGACAGACTTTGGCTAAAATAGGTTAAAATCGAAAAAATAAGCACACATAGTAAAAAATGGACGAGAATTGACAATAGGACCAAAATCGAAGAAAACACAAAAATCGATGAAATTAATTGCTTTGGCGTATATAACTAATCATTTTTTACGAAAATAAAATTACATGACAACATTTCAAACTTACTTGGTTCGACGTGTGTTTTTATATAAAAAAAATTACCATATAAGATGCGCTTTTAAAATATGCGTTCGAATAACAACAAATATCCACACGTTTCAAACTAACGCATCATTCATCATCCCGTCGCCAAAAAAAATGGACATCATCACAATTCAAGTAAGTTACATATGAATAAATAGATCAAAATAATTACATCATGTTCATTCAATTAATTACATGACACAAATCAATATGAAGCAAATTTAATACATGTTAAAAAATAAAAATAAAATAAAATAAAGCAAAAAAAGTGAAAAAAGATTATTGTAAAGAAAAAGAGGCGGTCGATTTGCTTGATGATCTCGAAGTTAGATCCGACCTTTTTGACTACGATGGAGACTAATACTTAGTCAAACGAGGAGAAAATGTAGCTGCCGATGGAGCGTGGGAAGGCTCGCTATGGGTGGTGGCTACGGCGGAGGTGCACGCGAGCATGGGGCCGTGCGTTGGGGCAAAACGCGTTGGCGGGTCCGTAGGTGCGCGGGCATACGCCGAAGGTGCTAGTAGGTGCATGTTAGAGGCGCCGCAGCGGTGGGACGCAAAGCACACGCCGAAGGAGGCCGGTAGGCGGGCCCGGCGTTCGCGAGGCAAGGCGCGCGCGCCGGGGCACGTTGAGGCATGGAGGCCCGCTAGGCCGCGCGTAGGTGTGAAAGCTCGCCGTGGCACGCGGGCGTGGAGGAGGCTTCGCTGGAGCGAGGTAGAGTAGAGGGCGTGCGTGGGCCGTGGGTTCGTTGGATCCGCTATGTGGCCGGTCCGCGAGCCGTAGGCGCCGACGATAGTAGCTAAGTGGGAGGCAATGGCTTGTGAAGGTCCGTAGGCGTGGGGGAGGGTAGGCGCTATAGGTGGGCTATTGCGTGAGTGGGTGAGGCAAACGATAGGCTGCTGGTTTGGTGGAGAAGAGGGGATGTGTTGGACGGTTTGAGCGACTGGAGTAAGGTAGAGGGAAGAGATGGTCGGCGACTAAGGTTCCTTCTTGTAGGTGAACAATAGCCGGTCCTCTTTTTGGGAGAGAAAAATGGGCTTTTATACTAGCTTTATAGGGTTTTTTAGCAAAAATTTATTTTGGTCCTTCATTTTAAAAACTAATTTTATTTTGCTTCCTTTCTCTTTTCTTCTTCAATCGCACCCCTATTGCATTATTTTTAATTTTTACTTTCCTTTTTTCTTCTTTTTTAGACCCAAAATTAGGTGCTAACGAGAGATAAAAGACACTTTTTTTTATCTCTTGATACATAAATCAAGATTGGTCTCTAGTAATACATCATGACTACTCAATTCTCTAAAAGGATTACTTAATCCGCAATAATCTTTTACGAGTATGGTTTCCATGCAATTTAGACCTTATGTCAATTTATCATAGTGTGTTCTCAATATATCATAATGTGATCTCAAACTTGGTTTGTTGTACGTTCTATTATGATTATATAAGTTTTCTTCGATATTTAAATGTCTTACCTCTCAAGTAAACTAACTATGCTTTATTAGTATACTTCCACTATGATCACGAGATTCTTGAATAGACATTCATCGAAATGTAATGTAATAACTTCTTTAGCATATAAGAAATAGCATATCCTATCTCGATCATTCAACTATCTCTATTAGAGTCCTAATCTACCCAACGAATCATCTACATGTGGCTCTTTACTCGAGCCCATCAAAATGAATGTTAAAGTATATCAATCATGTAACAAGATAATCGTGATGACTTTAAGTCAAAGAACTATTTGTATCCATCTCATATGAGATTCATATAGATAATACCAAATAGGTCCTCATGGTGAGTTACGTCGGTGATATGTTCTCTAACATTATTCACTTATGTGCTTATTTTGGCATCACCATGTCGGTAGGTGTAAGGTCTCCTCCCGTTATCTTATAGCATAAGCATAACAATCACAATTCTTATCGTAAATTGTTAATGTCCAATCTTGGTAATACTATGACTTGAGACATTTAATGATATCATTTATGTGAATTGATATTTGTCTCATATCTATTAATTAATTATTAATGTAATGCATATCATATGAACTTCTATCTAATTCTATCAAATTATAAAAAACAAGAATTAATAATTTTTTTTATTAATATTAAAAATACAATGATACAATATATCAAATCATCCAAATAGGTTGGATCTAAAGCACCTATACTAACACCACTCAACAAGTAACTATATGTTTTTATATATATATATATCTTCCATCTATAAGCAATCAATTATTTTGTACTCCTACAATAAACACAACTTCAAAAATATATTGTACTCCTGCCTTTCTTTTGTTTTCAACTTTCTTTGTCTATCTACTATTATGATGTAAACTCATAATTGATGTCCATTATCAAAAAACTATTTTTTGAATAAAATTAAACATTAATATAATGAAAAATTAAACCACCAAATAATTTTTTTAACTTCCCTATGCTATACCAACATAAAACTCTAAAAAAAAAAAAATTTATTGCTCAAGCATCCTAACAATATTGTTGTGCATGTTTCTCCAAACCTCTAAAAAAAAAAAACCGACATATTATCTTAATTAAAATATAAAGGAACAATCAAATCAATAAAAATAAGACTTATCACATCAACAAAATATTTGGCTCTACTAGGCCAACCACTTGTTCAATACTTATAATAAATGGTTCTCACATACCACCACATAACATAATTTTAAAAACCTATACAAACCAACTAGTCCTACTTTAAGCAAACCAATCTTTGTTTTACTCACCTTATAACCACATATATCATCCTCTTCCACTTTTTTCTTATTTATTTATTTATTATTATTATTATTATTTTATCATAGAAACTTTAAACAAAACTTGCCTCACCCATTAAAACATTGTTGTTAAAATTTTGCAACCGTCGTCCGAACTATGGATGAAGAACAATATGGGAACATCAATCGAATAACAATTGGACATCTACTTTAGTTAGTAAGTGAGAATTTATAGGTTTGTTCCTTTTTTTTAAAAAAAAAATGAATACATCATTTTCCATTTTCACAAAAAAAAGGTGTTTCTTACCGTTGATTGTCAATTAACTTGTTTACAGTTCCTTTCTCACACAATCAAAATATCAATAACTCAAACAAATACAACATCGATAAACGAGATGGTGGTATTTATTGTGTTCACTCGCGCCAACTTTGCAAAGACGAGAGTGTTTCTTCTCATGTCCATGGAATGGAATTTTACGCTCGAACTAATTTCAAGGTGCCAACAAATAGTATTCAACTACGGATGGAACTCCCATACATATTTTCCACCATCGTTGGCCAATACATTTGATTAAATGAAGATATTTAGAGTTAACACGTAATCCAAACTCGTCACCAACATCATAACATCATTTTATCACATTCGATATTTACGATGATGATGATGATCTAGGTGAACCCGTCTTTCTTCTATAACGAAATTAATCGACTACATAACTATTGCATCATTGAAGTTACATACCTATCTATGTATTATTTTAATACTAACGTTTTAATATGAATATTTTCTATATTCTTCATTCCTTACATTAAAATCATGAATATTAATTTTTTTATAATAAACAAATAAAATCAAACATACGATCAAAACTCCGAAAACAATTGCAACCTCTCGTTTTTTTGTCACTCGTGTTTATAAATCACATAGTTCTTAAAAACATTACACATCCAAATGCTAATTTAAAAAAATCTGTCAAAAAATAATCTACCTCGAACTTACATTACCGCAACAAAAGAGAGGCAACATTGAAAAACAAAGCAGAGGCGTAGCGTCGGTCATAACTTGTATTGATCTATCCGTATTCCAAAAATCTAGAACGCCTTATTTTCAACGGCGTCGTCCCAAACGCTTCCCGCCCTATAGAGCGCCACCTCGTGATAATCATAACTAAGCACGAGCCCAATTCCCACGTCTATCTCGCGGAAACCTTTTATTAACACACAAGTGTCTCGACCAATATGAGTATACGTGCTATGATAGTGGAGCGAGTACAAAACTAACATACTCTTCTCGTGTGATCCGGGGATTATCTACTTGACGTTACACGGTAAAAATTTGACTCGCTTTTGTACACGTGGCGGACGTAGGTGGCGAGACCGCACCGAGAGGTGGGTACCCTCATCCGGCCGCACGCATGGTGCGTAGTGCGAGCACTTTGGGTGATTCGGAGGAGGAAGCCGAGTGAAGGGAATCATGCCCCGGTTTAGCCATGACCCCCATTAATGTCAAGTGGATTTTTTTTTCACATAATGTTTAAATTATATAAAAAAAGTAATTTATTACAATTATAACCATTTAAATAATAAACAATCTATTTACGAGTTGGATCAAAATATAAATTTAATTTTAACATATAAAAGTTGGCATAAAATACCTCTATTTGTGAAGGAAAAGATGAGGGAATCATGAAAAAGCGAGATAAGGGCAACCTATGATAATCGTAACGTCACCATATGCAATGCATTTTTTTTTTTAATTTTTTATTCAACAATATATAAGCATGTGAGGAAAGTTTACGTAAATGTTTGTTTAGACAATAACTCGTGGTGTCACATGGATATGACAATTTAGCATTATATTCATATGTTTAAACAAAGTTTTCATCTGAGCGGGTTTATCGGGGGTAATGACAACGACGTGTTAAGATTTACCATCGGAATTTGGGTTTTTACTTGTCATATTTGTTGTTGTGCACAAGTTTATTTTTGTCTTATTTCTGTTCTTTTTCGTAATTAGAAGATTCTGTTTCTTAAGTGGTGAGAGCAAAGTATAATTTTTCTTAACTTCATTAAAAATTACGGAGGATCGAATGATAAAAATGAGTGCAAAATTAAACTATCGCAAAATATCATTTTTTTTATTTAAAAAAAACCCTCAAATCTTCATTTTAAACAAATCTTTTCTTCCTTTCATTGCTCCATGCACCCCAACATGAGATCTTTTAGTGACAAACCCATTAAAATTTAATTTAAAAACAGATTTCTCTTGATATTTGTTTATTTGAGCTAGAAGTATATTAAACAATATATATATAATGTAAATTGGCATTGTGAGAGAAAATTATAGTTTAGCAAATGATAATGCTACTTGTGTAACAATATAATTAAATTTTAAAATTCAAATCTTACTAGAATTAAAAATAAAAATTAGTTTTTACTGGTGTGGATAACATATTTCAAGATTTGAGTGAAGATAAATTTAATCTTGATTTTTCAAAAATTTGATTGAAAATTTCTATAGGTTAAAAAAAAAAGAAAAAAAAGAAGACACCTGCGTGTACCATTGACCTTGACACAGAAAGCCACTGCTGAAACTACAAAATGAAAAAGTCGTCTATCAACCAACAACGGTGCAATTCAAATTGGCGGTTCGGTTCTGAACTTTATGTTCCTTTCAGGGAACAAATTCACCAGCACTCTAGGTTGGGTAAACTAAATATCAGTCTCTTGGTTCTAACGCAATTATAAATTAGTCCTTTTAGTGTTGGAAAATATTTAAACTAATTCTTTAACTTACGTTGAACGTTGTTTTTTTTAATTTTTTTTTTGTTGACATTCTTTGCACTACATTGTGCTGATTTTTCTTTAAAAATTTGCTTTTGTATAAGGTAAATGGATTTAATTTTTGCAAGAATAATACTTTAATTTATTTAGTTAAAAAAGGAGGTAAATTAAAGAGATAAAATTTTAACCTTAAAGAGATAAAGAGAAAAATTCATGATGAGGTAAACGTTTTTTAGTTAATTTTTTTCTCCGTCTTTCATAAACTTATAACTAGTTTTTTTTCTTTTTTAATTTGCTAAACAATCCCCTAATAGATATTATTTATCATTATTTTATATTTAATTCCTAATAATCCTAATATACAATTCAATTTTTGCATCAAATATTCTTAAAATATTTTTGACAACCATTTTGCACTCTAAATATTTACTATTGTGATAGTTACTTACAAGCTAATTCACCCTCGTTACGTAAATTTTCATCAAAAGTAGTTTAAAAATTATATTGTCAAATGGTATTATTTGATATTTAGAAAAAGAATCAACAAAAGTTATAGTCGGATTAATAAAACAACCATCAACAAAGCATAAATATAGATTCTTTTATTAAAAAATAATAATATAATTTGGGTATAATTTTTCAATGGAGAATGAGAGATAATCTACTTACTTTTCCACGTTGCATTAGGGAAAAAAAAAAAAAGACTTAAAGGACTAAGTAATAAGTTTTCAAACAAAGAGGACCATGCAATAGTTGAGTTCAATTACCAAGGACTAAATAATATTGTACTCCGCTAGATTTATTGGGTGCAGCACCTGGTCCAAGGGTCATTTCGTTCCCTGGGTTCGTTAATCGCTTTCAGTTTTCAGCTTTCCTCAAATTTTGGCCTTTTTTTTTAAAAAAAAAAACAAGAAAAGAAAAAGAAAAGTCATACTACTAGAGCAAGAAAGTAGGAATTGAAACTCGCATCCATGCTGCTTTGTTGTCTCTCTAGAATTCCTTTTCTACTTGCAATTACTACGCAACCAGTAATAATAAAATAAAACACTCTCTCTCTCTCCACAACAAACTTAAATCAAAACTCTCCTCTTTTGTTTCTGTCTCTGAAAAAACATAAGAAATGGCATCAAAAAAACCCTAACATCAGCTCGCCGCCTTTGCCATGTCGAGTAACAGCAACGTAGCTTCATCGTCGTCCTCATCACCATCATCAATCACGTGCTTACCCCTTGTAAGATACTTCAATTTCTTGAACTTTACAATTACGTGTTGATTTGTGTTGTTGCAGATGGAATTCGTTATGGTTAGGGAATTTTGTTTAGTTTTTGTTTGGTTCCTGAGAAATTTAAGGAAACAAAAGTCGATTTGTAGTGTTTTTATGTGTTGATTTGTTAGTGATAAGTGAATTTAAGTCAGTTAATTGATTTGTATAAAACTGGAGGGAAAATTGGATGTTTCAATTAGTTGTTACTGTTAGCTGCATTTGTTGCTGAATTCAATGGTTTTCTGTATATTGTTGTTGGATTGGAATGTTAAGCTTCGCAAAAATTTTGAAGTTACAGGGATGGGAGATGGCTAGGTTTTTTTGTGAATGGATCAGTGTTCCAAGAGGGGAAATGAAATTTTGACTTTGGAGGGCTTATTTTGAATTTGCAAAGTGTTTAGTAGGTATTGCTAAATCATTTGGATAGTGCCCTTTTCTTTTAATTACGTATGGCAGAAGAGGGAAGGCGGGTTGGAGGGATTTCTTCTGGCTTGGCTGTATTATTGAACGGTGAAGATAGAAAGGAGAGTTCGTTGAATACACGACTTGTTTCATCTTGTGATGATTTTGGTAATCAGCCTGTGGAGCGAGCTCTTGAAAACATCTTTGGTCTCCCAAACAAATCACTTGGTCCATTGACTGGTCCAGTTGACACTAAACTAGTACGCTCTATTATAAAGAATGAGTTTTCAAAGAGTCGTGTTGGTGATTTGGTTGATAATAGAGATGGGATTAGTATTATTAAGGATGGCTGTGAATCTCAGGTGGTTGGGCTCGAAGAAATGAGCATCTGTGGTGATATCAGAATCATTAAACACCCTTTGCTTGTAGAAAGCTTAGCAATGTTCAGTAGTGCTAGGTCCAATGCTTGTGTTTGGAAAGGGAAATGGATGTATGAGGTTCTATTGGAAACTTCTGGTGTACAGCAGCTTGGATGGGCAACACGTTCTTGCCCGTTTACTGATCACAAGGGTGTAGGTGATGCAGATGATTCATATGCATTTGATGGGAAAAGGGTTAGTAAGTGGAATAAGGATGCTGAGCCATACGGTCAGCCATGGGTTGTTGGTGATGTCATTGGATGTTGCATTGATCTGGATCATGACGAGATATTGTTCTACAGAAATGGCATATCCCATGGAGTAGCCTTTCGGGGTATCCGCAAGATGGGACCTGGATCTGGGTATTACCCAGCAATCTCTCTTTCTCAAGGTGAACGCTGTGAATTAAATTTTGGGGCTCGTCCCTTCAAGTACCCCATTCAGGGGTTCCTTCCCCTTAAAGCTCCTCCTCCTGCAAATCTTTTGGCTATGCAGTTGCTTCAGTGCTTATCAAGGCTGTCAGATACGCAAGGAATGGAGCGGGCTGAAAGTTCTTTAGTTGGTAAATTGAGGAGATTGAAGAGGTTTGTGTCACTTGAAGAAGTATTTTATCCTGTCTGTCATGGGATATGTGAGGAATTCTTCTCTGTACTTGGGGGAGATTCTGGGAGCACCGAGTATGTCGTATGGGGTCCACTTCTTTCATTCATGATGGAGGTCTTCAGAGTGCAAGCACCACATGACTATTCAGGTTTGGATAGGTTTATTGACGTATTTCTAGAGTTTCAAGAATCACGTCTGATGTTTGAGCATATAATCAATGCCCTTTCAAGTGGCTGCAAAACGGCACCCTTGGTTTTGATGGAATGCCCATACTCGGGATCTTATTCTTATCTTGCAATGGCATGCCATATCTTACGACGGAAAGAATTGATGGTTCTCTGGTGGAAGTTGGCTGATTTTGAACTATTGTTTGAAGGTTTTCTATCACAAAAGAGTCCAAACAAGCAGGACCTTCAGTGCATGATGCCTTCTGTTTGGTGGCCTAGTTCAGGGGAGGATATCTCCAATGATGGAAGAAGCATGATGCTGACAACTACAGCTTTATCAGAAGCTATCAATAAGGTATATCCTGTTGTGGATCTCTGATATTTCACATTAAATTTTTAGGGTTTGAGTCTTCTATCCATAGGTATTAGTATGATGAGGGAATAAAATGAACAGCCTTCAAAATCATTTTTCCATATGAAATTTACTTGTAATCAGAATGAGGTATACATAGTGAAATACCGTCAAATCCAAGTGGCCAGGAAGACTTTTGACTGATGGAAATAACTTGGCATAATTGAACTTCATTAATTTCACAAATAAAAACATTTTGTTATTATTTGATTGTTCATGGTTAATCAAGAAAAAAATTATTCAAATAAAAGCCCCCCAAAAAAAAAAAAAAATTCTTTCAGTTGAATTGAATAATCTGTGTTTGATTTCATATTCACATTTTTATTTAATTCACGCATAATGAATAAAAGATGATTGCCTGGATCTAGTGCTACTGTTTAGTTGAATATTAACATATCTTATATTTATGAAGCATGCACATGTACTTATTCAATGAGCTCATGGGTAACTATCAGGAGGTCAAAGATTAGTATAGATTGGCTGTTCATGATTGAGAACTTGAAAATACACTTTTGTTGTGTTGTTGGGAACTTTTAATTTGTGTCCCTGGTAAGTTAGTTAATAGCAGCACTCCTATTGTTCCAACCTTTGTGTTGATTTATTTTTTCTTTCTGGACTTGAACAATGAATGTCCTATTTCAGCTCCGTGCTTTGGGACTTAGTTGAGGAGCAAACTGCTTAAAATATGCAGCGACCTTTATTTTAAATGCTAATTCTCAAAATAAATAATCACATAAGGAACTTGTAGGTAAACTTACACTACCTGTGTTGAACTTTTTTTTTTAATTATTTTTGTTTTGCAGTATTTTATTTTGGCAGGACTGACATTGTGTTACACAATATTTATGAGGAAAACAAATATTGTGATTCTGTATTTTTCTCTCTGTTTTTCAACATTCTATGAGTTTGTTTATCTAACTTTATGCAATTTAATATTAATTCATACGCTACAAATACTTCTGTCTTTGTAGATTGAGGAGAAGCATAAGGACCTCTGTCTCTTGGTCATGCAATTTGTACCACCCACAACACCTGCTCAATTACCTGGCTCAGTGTTTAGGGCATTTTTACAAAATCTTCTATTGAAGAATAGAGGAGCAGATCGCAATGTGCCACCTCCTGGAGTTTCAAGCAATTCCATTCTTGTTTCACTGTACACAGTTATACTTCATTTTTTATCCGAAGGATTTGCTATGGGGGATATTTGTGGCTGGTTGAAGAGGTGTGAACCCAATGGTCATAATGTTGGATTTCTTCACAGAGGTGGGGAACAAAGTTTCCCTGTAGATATATTTCTCAAAAATGATCCTCATCGAACTGACATTTCTAGACTTGGGGGATCTTTTAGTCATCTCTCAAAATCTCATCCTGTATATGATAAAGAAGCAGAAGTAATCCGGTGGGAGGAAGGTTGTGTGGATGATGAAGAAACAAGAGTAACACATAAAACCTTACAGAAACCATGTTGTTGTTCGAGTTATGATGTTGAATTGTCAAAAATGTCAAAGCATCAAATTAGATACAGTGCTAAAGGTTCTCGTGTCCATTGTAGTCCTATTCCAGACAGGTCTGCTCATGTTGCTGCAGAATGCAGTGAAGGAAGTTTGAATGATGAGATAGCCGACAAGCCTAGTACGAGTGATCAATCTGAATCTGATTTTGGTTACCGTCCAGTGCGGGATATTAGGATTGTGCAAAGGGAGAGTGATATGTCTACAGCAACACTGAGAGAAGAAGAACTTCTAGATACAATGCTATTTTTGTATCACATAGGTGTCGCACCAAACTTTAAGCAGGTAGGAGAATTTGCAGAATGAAATTTGCTCTTATTGTTAATTTCACTTTACTGCAAGTTTTGTATTTGGTATCTGCTTTGATCTTCTTGGTGAAAGGACTTTGTGCTGCCTGAAATGCTTTTATTTTATTTTTTCCTCATCGAAATATAACAGGAAATGAATGTTGCAGAAAATATGTTAAGACATTAGGAAGAGTCAAGTTAACAAAATTTTTGCCTTATCCTGAATGAACATGATTAGCGAGTTCAGGTATCTACTAATGTCAGCCAGATAACTACAATAAAGGAATGCATTTACTGAAGCCTGAAAAATTGATAACATCTTGGTGGAGCTGGAGATTTTTTTTTTTTTTAAGTTTCTAAGAATCCATTAGTTGTTCTTGGTTTCTCCAAAAGACAATATCTTGGGTTCAAGCATAGTAATGATGAAGTTGGGGCTAAATGAGCATGACGTTGCTTTTATGTAATTAGTGTATTAAAGGAAGAAATGATTGGTGATCAACATTTATGTAACAGGGGATAATTTACAAGCAGTTTCATGAGTTGAAAACTGAATTTTTCTAGGCAAGTGCCTATTAATCTCTATGTGCTTGTCTCTATTTGTCCTAAGGGTCTGAGGCAGGTAATGATAACCAAAAGTTTTATGCTTGGATTACAAATTGTCAGTTTGATCATAACATATGGTATCTTTCCATTATCTACACCAATGCATAAGATGCCTGTTGAAGCCATATACTTTGTCATGTAACATGAAACTCCTGCACTTCTAATCATTGTTTGAGATACCTGATGGAGAATTTGATAAAAAGTGAGAAAGATATATACTGGTTTAAAAGTATTTTTGCATTATGTTATTTTTCTTTAAAAATTTTCACTTCAGCTCCAGTATTTAAAGATATGCGCCATATGTCTTTATGTTCTACATATTGGGGTTTGCAATGTCTGAAGCATTGTATCAATGTCATGAAAGCTTTGTCAACACATTGACTGAACAGTCGAAGACTGTGTCTTGTTGACTGTTGTCCAAAGGGATTGCCATTTCCTGGAAAACTTGTTCAAATTTTATGTGTTTTTGCGATTACACTGCTGCCATATTGTTTTTTCGGTGCTCTTGTGATGTTTTGGTTAGCAGATGAACATCATTTTGTGCTTACTGATCGCATGCTTTCTTGCTGCATTTTGTTTTGCGTAACATGTCTATCTTTGATTGTAGGCGTCATACTACATGTCTCATCAGGCACAGTCAATATCACTCCTGGAAGAAACCGATAAACAAATAAAAGAATGTGTTTGTAGTGAGAAATTAAGACGGCTGAAAGAAGCTCGTAATGATTATCGTGAAGAAGTAATTGATTTTGTCAGACATTGTGCATGGTATGATGTCCATCTTTGTATGGTGCTGGTTGTTGTTACTGAACAACTTACCAGCAGTGTTTTCTGTTCAATTATAGATGAAGCTATTAGGGGTTATAACATCAGCTACATGTATATCATACTTTATGCTAGTCCATTGCATCTTCTGATTTTTTGTTGACCAACAGGTATCGCATCTCTCTTTTCTCGTGGTGGAAGCAACGAGGAATGTATGCAACATGCATGTGGATAGTCCAACTACTTCTGGTTCTTAGCAGAGTGGATTCCTTATTTATTTATGTTCCTGAGTTTTATCTTGAAACCCTGGTAAATAAATAATTTCCTTTAATCACTGACAAGCTGATGTTGGGTGTATTTATCAACCTATATCTGTCTTAAGTAGTGTTTTATAAAGCTTGTGAACAGGTATTTTAACCTGTTTACAGAGCATAAATAAATGTGACCTTTTTATTCAGGGTTCTGTTTTATGTCAAGGTTGACATCTCTTCAGAACGCTCTGCCTCTCTTTGGAATTATTACAGTTATGCTTACACCCATTGTTCACTTGGAAATATTCTTACATCAGTTCTTGAAGTTGAGCAACTGCATGTAGTATATTAATGCCTTTTAGGGTCACATTTTTGAAGTTCATCAGGACCTCATGGTGTTGCTTGATAAAGCTGCAAGTTTAGATTCAATTCTATCGTGAAAGCTCTCTCTCTCTCTCTTTTTTTCCTTATCATGCTTAAAATATCAATGCTAGTCGTGGGTTATTAGCATCCCATTCTAGCAAAATTCCCATGTGTGAAGATTTTCTGTTGGTGAAGTGCTTACCCTGAGGTGCCAGTTTCTTTTTGTGTCAAATATGATGTAAATATTTTTTATAGCTGTTCGAACATGCGTAATTGATGCACTGATGATCTATCGGTTGTATTAAATTTTGTTGCTTCATCTACCTGTAGTTTTAAATTTATTGCACTGCTTGTGGAATGTGTCATTGATGTGGTTCGCAATGTTAACTTGTATTATCTAGCTTTTACATGATGCTTTTCTACCGTTACAGGTTGATTGCTTCCATGTGCTGCGCAAGAGTGACCCCCCATTTGTACCCCCTGCAACATTTATTAAGCAAGGACTTGCCTCATTTGTAAGCCTCGCATACTGTTCATTTTGTTGTCTTCTTGGGCATAAGTTTATTTTGTTGATTTTTGAGTAATCTGCCGTTTGGTTTTTGGCTGGGGTTTAAATTTATCATCAAATCTTGGTGACTTGTTTTCCCATTTTGTTTCTAGATTTACAGATCAAGAAAGCATGTCCCTGTGATAATGTCAAGCTGTAATCATTGAAATTGACTATGGCCTCTTTAAGACAAATTATTCCAGCAAATATTATCGATTTATTACAGCTCTAGCACAATTATTTATTTGGTTGTGTTATTAATGCTGAATCCATTACACACAAGAGGTAGGGTACTGCTAACTGTGATCCCACTTTTTGTATCAAAAGCAACAAAAAAAGTTTCCTGCCATGTGGTTGATAAGTTTCTTGGCAGCCCTTGATTGAGTAGGTAAGGGACAGGAGGAGCTAGAACTGCCACCATTTGCAACACACATTCTGCATCTTAGAAACAAATACTAATGGAAAGGGAATTATTGTCTAATACACTTTTCTGAAAATTTGGACGATTAGTAAGATCTGGGTAGGATTGCTACCTCGGAATAATGATTTTGAAAAGGCCAACTTCAGCTGATTCACAAAAAGTTAAATCCCATCAAATGTTTGACTGTTTCTTTATCACTATGAAGCACGATGAAATGATCTCTACATTCCATAAATCTCATGCCTTAAACTTACAGCAGCATGGTTAAACCAACTATTCTTGGCATTACAACAATTCTTTTTCTTCTCCAATCCTTCGGTTCATCTTTTGCTGGTTGACTTATTTTCAACTAATATTATTTGATTTACCCTGAATTTTCCATCTCTCAAACCTTCCTGTTCTAGTGAACATATGTCTGTAATCGGTCTTGGTGTTATCAAGAGCTCCAGATAAAGACTAGAGATCCTAATGCTCTAGGAAGTGTATTATATTCCTATAAGCCAAAGAAACTACCTCCTATCTGCTTTGTGCTAATCTTTCTTTTGCTGTGTTACAAGCTACAAAAGTAATAAGCTTCCTGCATGGATAATAATAATGCATCTCTTCTGATTTACTGTGAATCTGTGTGCATCTTTTTGAAGTCTGATGGATTTATTGCTAGTTTGAAGTTTCAGTTGACAAGTTGCAAGTGAACTCTTTTGATTATATTTCAGTAGATTTGTAATGGTGACACTTGATTGTTGTCAAGAAGTTAAGATCTGTTACAAGTATATGTAAGAATAGTATGATTGTTTTCAGTTAGAAATGTATAACTATAATAGCATTCACTCCTTGGTGTTCATGATGAATGGTTCAATTTTAATTATGCTCATTTCTTTTACAAAGTTCCAAACAACAGGCAATTAATTGGTGACTGTTGACTTGTTTCCGGGACTTGCTGGGTTCTTATATTTGACCTATTGACTACTTTTGTCATTGATACTATACCAAATACCAAGTGACACATGTAGTTTTTAAAGAATAGACTTATTTACCTTTCTGTACTTCTAGAGTCATCTGCATGCAATCTGGTGATTCCCTCTCAATTTAAATATGCTTCAATCAGAAAATTGAATAGTCAATGAACTTCAGAGGACTGATTGATTTCTCCTGTTCATCAGGTAACTTTTGTTGTTTCCCATTTCAATGATCCGAGAATATTGAGTGCCGATCTCAGGGATCTTCTCCTCCAATCTATTTCAGTCCTGGTACAGTATAAGGAGTATTTGGCAGTTTTTGAGAGCAATGAAGCAGCTACACAAAGAATGCCAAAAGCATTATTATCGGCATTTGACAACAGATCTTGGATCCCAGTGACCAACATTCTTTTGCGGTTGTGCAAGGGTTCTCGTTTTGGTTCTTCAAAGCATGGGGAATCATCATCGTCATCAGTTGTTTTCCAGGTAAAAATCAATCTTTTCACTTTATTTTAAATCCTATATTTTTTTCCATGGAACAATTTGTGGGCATGTATTTATCTTCTTTTTTGTTGTCTTAATCTATGTAGAACTTGTTGCGGGAAGCTTGCATCAATGATGACGAATTGTTCTCAGCATTTCTGAATCGACTATTTAATACACTCAGCTGGACGATGACAGAGTTCTCTGTTTCCATTCGGGAAATGCAAGAAAAATACCAGGTATAATTTACTGATACCAAGAATTTGATGACAGCTGTTCAATGGCTTTCAAAAGGTCTTAGCTAAAGCACCCCCCAACCCAACCCCCCCCCCCCCCAACACACACATCACACTTATTTATCTATATCCTGGCCTGTTGCTTTTCTTGGTTTACTTAACATTTCTATAAAATTTGCTTACGTGGATCACTTCTTTGGGTCAGTCGTATTACCGTTTTGCAGGTAATGCCAGTTTTTTTGTGTTTAAGTAGTTAGTAATAGTTTCAACTGTATGGATTTTTAGGTTTTGGAGTTTCAGCAAAGAAAATGCTGTGTCATATTTGATCTCTCATGCAACCTTGCAAAGGTTTTGGAGTTCTGTACTCGTGAGATCTCTCGAGCATTCTTATCTGGAGCTGATACAAACCTTCGGAGGCTAACTGAATTGATAGTCTTTATTCTTAATCACATTACTTCAGCTGCAGATGCTGAGTTTTTTGATCTGTGAGTTTCCATGCTGGTGAATTGAAATCATGTCTCTCTTTTGTTTCCCTTTATTTTTGTCATTTTTCCTTTCAAATTGTACTAAGTTGTGTTTCAAAACATGGTATAAATGCATTGTGCCATTTGAGCTGCAATTTGAGTCTTGCTTTTTGTTGAAGAAGCATACAAGGGAATTGGTGATGATGACAAGTTAACATTTAGGATATCTTTGGTTGATTTGCTTATGTTATGACAACCATCCAGATATCGCGTTTGATTTTTCAGATTTTTTGTTCTTATATAAGTTTCCTGAAGATAGTGGATGTATAACCCTCTCCATGTCTACGTAGTGGATGTATAACCCTCTCCATGTCTATGGACATTTTTGAAGATGGCTTTTAGTGATCTGTTTGGCATTTCTAAAATGATTAATAAAGGTTTCACTAGTGCATAAATTACACATTTAATAAAAGAAATAACTGTGGATTGTTACAAAGTTCATATTGTGACCTTCATGCTTCCTCAATGGTTAGGAAATTCATATAGATATGCCACTGTATTTGCAGCTCACTTAGACGACATGGTCAATCTCTGGAGAAAGTAAATCGAGGCATGATATTAGCACCTCTTGTAGGGATCATCTTGAATTTGTTGGATGCAAGTGCGGAGATGGAATGTGGAGAGCAGAATGATATTGTGGGTGTTTTTGCTAGCATGGACTGCCCTGATACTGTGCACTGTGGATTCCAGTATCTCTTGGAGTACAACTGGGTTAGTTTCTTCTACTTGAAGCCCGTCTCTCTTCATATGCATGCATATCTTCTCTATCTTGTGGATAACAACCTTTATTCCACTGTGCATATGAACATCATAATTAGAAGAAGATTCATTTTCATGGTTGGAGAGAGGGGTAGGGGGTTGTTTGGGGGGGGGGTTGTGGGTTTGTACTTGTTTGCATCTATTTAATGTACTCCTATTGAGAAGCAAAAGCACTGCAATTCATGTAAATTTTAAAGGGCTAAAAGAGGAAGAAATGAAAGAGTTGTACGATGGCCATCTAGAGATGGCCGATGTATAGAAAAGAAGGTACTAGGAAAAAGTATTGAAAACCTAGAAGTACATAGGCTAAACCTTTGAAATCCAAAGGGATGCTTTTTTGAATCCATCAGAAATAGGATTTCTGAAGTCTACAGGAACAAGGAAATTCCAAAAGAAAAACTTTTTATCTATCAAATGGCCTTCCAAAATACGAAGTATGTGTCTATGTAGGCAAACCAAGAGTCCTAATGAAAAATAGGAAAAGAAGAAACAATCTAACAAAATAGAACTCTCAACTAGCTATTATATTATTAATATTTGAGGAAAAAAAACTCTACTAATCATCATCATAACAAAATAGGGAAAGAAGGAAAACATGATAAATTATAACTCTCAAGTACTGTTTGTTTTTAGGCAAAAATTTTACTTAAACCTAACAAAATAGAACTTGCAACTAGTTGCTATTATTTATGTTTTTGTTGAGTGAAAAACTCTACCAATCATCGTAACAACAAAATAGTAAAAGAAGGAAACCTAATAAAAAAGAACAATGTTTTAGGCAAAAACTCTACTTTCATAATAACAAAATCCTACTTAATTCACAATGTCATGAACATAAACTTAAATCAATTATGAAAATGTTATTTTCCTAAAAAAATAAAATTTCTTAATATACTTGATAATTTTGTCTTTGTTACATAAAAATTGCTTATTGGGTGCTGGCATTTTTGGTTTTTAGTGGTGTATATTTTTCGTAATATGATTTGCAAGTGCTTGAACCACCACCAGCAGAAAGATTAAAGTAAGGTTTCCTCTAGAAATCAATGGATGTACTTTTTGTCATCTTTTCTCATCATCGTATTTGCAATTCACTCTGTGTTATTATTGTGCCAGGCTGGATCCTCGCGAGGGGATGCTTATAGTGGAAAACTTAGGCAGCTTGAGAGTTTCTTGAACCTTCTTATTAGCAGGATTGAGTTGCAACAAATTGAAAGGTTGGGATATGGGGAAGAAACAGACATCAACGATAATACCTGCTGCATTTGTTATACTTGTGAAGCAGATGCACAGTTTGCCCCTTGTTCGCACAGGTCCTGCTATGGCTGCATAACGAGGCATCTTTTAAATTGCCATAGATGTTTCTTTTGCAATGCAACAGTCTTGGAGGTTATCAAGATTGATGTTGAAAACAGGGCTTAAGTTTTATTCTCTTAATACTTTTTTGGTTGGCCGGTCTTGTGGATTGGTGTCCAAACGGGCTTTTGAAGTTTGAACCGAGATTTGTCAAAGAAAAGTTAGAGAGAATATAGTTGGTAGTTTCATTAGAGATGCTGCAATTTGAATTATGACTAGTATGTCGATATATGGGTTTGAAAGGGTAGGTGGATGGGGGTGGAAGAAGTGGATGAAGAATTTTGTAGGTGAAATTTGAGGGCATTATTCTCTGTAAATATGAGATGTAAATGGCAATGAGAATCTTTATTCTCCTCTCTTTCCTCTGCTTTCGTGTACTTATCTATCATTTTGAGCTGGGCGGAACTGTAGTGGACTTGGATGCCAAAAACACATTTAGTAAATCCTGTGTACTCTTGTGAAATGAAATGCTCATTAACTAGCTACCGTATAGATAGGTAATGGGAAAAGACTAGGAAAAGGTGAAAAAGAAGGAAAAAAAAAAAAAGAGAATAAAGAAGCCAAGTGGCCGTATGTATTGTATGTAATGCAATTTCTCCTGCAGTTGATAATTGGCTTCGCATAGAATATGTAATATTGAAGCCAAATTATGAATATTTAAATATTATGAGAAATTATTAAGTACATCTCTATATCCGTAAAAATTATGCATTAAAAGGAATACAAATTTGAAGACACAAAAAATCCCTTCTGTATTCCAAGTGTGTTGCTGAAATGAACCCCGATGATGGGTCCGGTTTTGATACGAGTGGGAGCAAATACACAATCATGAGTATGTAATAAGCTGTCAATAAACAAATAAAACTGGGAAGTACCGAACCGCCTCGCTGCTTCCGTCCGGTCCGTCACTAACTGAAAAAGATACTAAATACTGAAGAAAATAAAAATTGTGCAGGCCAGGAAGATGGTATCGTATTAACAGAGAGTCATTTCAGCTTCTAGATTGTAACGCAGTAAAAGCAACCAAAAATATAAAAGAAAATGTTGTTGAAAGCACTCAATTTCTCTAATCCCTCGATCCACCACCACACACCATCCCTCACCACCACCTCCCGTCGCTTGCTTCACGATCTCCGCCTCCCAATCCAACGTTTGTCGTCACGGGCAGTACACTCACACTACAATTCAACAACGGCGGCATCTGTTGCAGAATCGGAATCACCAGAGCCGTCGATTTCATCCGAGTACATAGAGACCGTCGGATTACCGTCTAATTCAGTGCTTCAACTCTCCCAATGGAATCTCACACATCGCCACATTCTCGTCCTCACTGTCATTGCTTGCACTGTAATTTACCCATTCCTTTACTTAATTTCTTTTCTTTACTACTTAAAATTATGCTTCTGATTGTTAATATATATATATATATATATTTTGCAGGCAGCTGTTTCAGCAACCTGGCTGTTTTTATCTGCAATCCCAACTCTTCTTGTATGTCATTTCTTTTCTTTTGAAGCCTTCATTTTATTTATCTTGTGCATTTGGCATGTTTTTTTTTGGGTATGATTTGAGTCATAATTAAAAGTGCTGCTGGAACTCAAAATCATTAATTTACTTTAAATTGAAATGTTATTAGTATAATTTAAAAATCCTCTTATACCACTGCCTGTGCCTACGGGATAATTAAAACAAACACTACGTTTAGTAGCGTTGATAATTTAAACGATTACATCACTCCCTCTTCATGTTTTCATGATTGAATGAATTTCCGTCATAAATAATAATCATCATGTTTAAAGCCAATTTTAACTTTTTCCTACTTACTACAAGGTTAATTCTGACCAAATAACTTTTAAGTGTTTTTTTTTTTTTTTTTTCCTGTGGTTATTGAAGGCTTTCAAGAGGGCCGCAGAATCGCTTGAGAAGTTGATGGATGTAACGAGGGAAGAACTTCCTGATACAATGGCTGCTGTTCGGTTATCAGGCATGGAAATTAGTGATCTTACTATGGAGCTCAGTGACTTGGGGTTAGTATTATTATTTAGTACATTGAAGCTTGAAGGCTTAAAGCCTGAGACATCCTTAATTATGCTCCTTTTTTTTTTTTTAATTTACTTTTTCTGAATTTTGTAAATTGGATTGAATTGCGCTCACTTATCGTCTGTTACTTTTACAGACAGGAGATTACACAAGGTGTTAGAAGTTCTACTAGAGCTGTCCGTGTAGCTGAGGAGAGGCTGCGCCAATTGACAAATGTTACTCCAACAGGTTAGGCTACATTATCTTGCAGTGCTTTGATTTTTGGCTTTAGGTTGTTGGATTTCGAGCAATGGGTTTTACTCCTCACTTGTTTAGCTTCATTGCAGGTGGTAGCCAGTCCAAAAAATGAGACAGGAGGACCGGCTTTGGCCAGGACTGCACGGGGAATGAGGGAGGGGATTGTCAAGGGTCGTTCAATCTTGCAAATATTTTTCACCATCATACAATTTTCCAGGATGACCTTTAACTATTTTGCTAAGCGAAATAAGAAGTAGATCCAATCATCCAACGATATGAGCTCTGTGGTGAGAAACATCAAATTTTCCCTATGTTCATATGTTTCTTTTATAAATTTCGCTTGACAATTAGTAGTGTTGTTGAGTTTTAAAATTAACGAGTTCTGTGACTGCCACTATGGAGTTGAGCTAGTAGTTCCGGAGATAGAGTGGAACTTTATTTTCCTCATTTTCAGTTGGATTTTTCTGCAGTTATATTTGCTTCTTATTGGACGTGCCTTATGTTTGATCATTGTGAGGAATATTCCTTTATGTACAGCTGCTATGTTCTTGGCTGTCAAGGATAGTGTTTGACTTGAAAGTTCTCTTACTCCTACAGAAGGTCTTGAATTCTTAGACATGTCAGATGTTGAAAGTCTGTTGTAATTTATTGCTTGTTACATTGATTATTATGGCATCAAAAGGCTTGGCCTCAGGTTTTCAGACCACATCTAGTTATAAAATTTTTTCGAAATCGTTAGAGATCTAAAGCAATAAAGTGAATGTCCAAATGTTTCAAGTTGTACTTGCAAGGCTAAAAACTTGCTCTGTGCACTGTAGGCATGTAGGGTGGTAAGAAATTTGGTGATAAAGTTTGCATACCTTAAATTCAGGTGGGAGCTGCAATGCAACTGCTTCACATGTGATGTGAAGTATAGTTTTGTTCTAACTTTTATAGAGGTTAGCTGTGGATTTGATGACATTGCATATGAAAAGAATGATCAACATAACGAACGAAACCCTAAGGGTTCTCTGTGATTGTTCTAATTGATGAGATAATTAAGAGGTCATAGCCCTGGGCTTGTTTGAGATAGTACAGAAAAAAGATGGGTGGGGGAAGAATGGGGAAATAGTTGACCTGCAATGGAACATGAATTGTGAAGTCTAGGTTAGGTGAAGAACAGGGATGCCACTCTTTAACAACTACGGTAAAAAATTGTTCCTGCCATTATTGTTCTCATGATTTACAATGGGAGTTTAATGGGAGGTTTAAAACTGAGATGACTCTTTGGTAGGTTTTTCCAGAAAAAGAGCTACTCATGGTGTCTTATCCTCGAGACGTAGGAGTGTATTAACCGGAAAAAAAAAAAAAAAGTATGGATAGAATCTAAGAAATTTTTGAATAAGACGTTGTTAGCCAATTGCATGACCCTAATGAGAGAAGCTTGGGAAACATGAAATAACAGGGCAGATGGGCCAACAAGTTGGGTTGGAGTTTTATTTGAACAAGACTTTTAATTTTGGTGTAAATTAAACCCTCCGTCCATCTTGTAGTTGACCAATTTGACACTCTTCATTAATTAATTGGTCATCTATTTGGTATTAAGATATACACTATAAATGCTGTTGAACAAATCTACAAGAAGTTGAGCCAGGGGTGAGCATTTGATTTTTTGATTTGGTTTTTAATATTTTGGTTGGTTTCGATTAACTAAATTTATATAAAAATAAAAAACAAACCTGAACCGAATTAGTATTTGTTATTATTATTATTTTTTTTAGTTTTTGAATTTGTTTTTGTTTTTATGCTATTAACTATAAAGTCTTTCTTCTAGTCCAAATAATCTAAATTAACTTATATAAATATAATAAATATTTATTTAAATAAGATTAAAATACAAAATTATATTGCATAATAAAGTATTAAAATTTAAATACAAGTTTGTATATGCTCGATATTTTAATTGATTTTATATTAATCCATATTATTATTATTATTATTATTTTGATATGGGTTCAAATTGCATGACAAATGGATTGAATTAAGAATGGACCTACTCAACATAAGGTCTTGGGTTGTAATGATAGACATAGGTATTTTGGTAGTGTTATAGTTCATGTTTTGTTATTAAGATGCATTAGGGAGATTGATGTGGTGAGCTTGGAGTAGGGTCCGTTAAAGGAAGACCTAATTGTTATTTTTTTTAGTTTGCTAGCAATTTGAAGCGATTAAAGCCCAAAGAACTTAAATCTTTCAAGCTAAATCTAACCATCCAAATTTGGATGATGTGGCATGATCCTAACGATCAAAGATCATTTTTTTTTACTATAAATATCGATCTTATATCATTACGAGGACATCATGACTTTTGCATCATAGAATTTTTGACTTTAGAATTTTTGATTTCTAGCAAAAGAAACCTTGAACTCTCCCTCTCAAGTTTTTTTCACTCACACACTAGACAACACTTAAAACTTCATCTATTTGGATCTTAACTACCTATTTGTCGACCACATGACTTGTGCCTTACTAGCATTGCCTACTTCTCTTCCCACACCTTTCACTATTTGTATCTTTTCGTTTGGTTAGTTGATCGTTACTTTTACAAGTCACAATACTAGCTCTTTACATCTTGACTAGCCTACCAACCAATAGTTTAATCAATTCTTAAGAACCTTCTATATATTTTAACGACTCTACCTGGGGAGTTAGTGATTGTGAAGAACTCTTTCCAAGACAATAAAGAAAAACACCAATCTTGTTGCTACTCACAACAATGATCGTACCTTGGATGATCCTAATCATAATGCTAACAATGTTAACTCTGTTTAACAGCGAGAATGTTAACTACTTTCCAAACCCTTAAGCTTGGTATTGGCAACTTCGTAACACTATCAAGAGGTGGCTTACCTCAATCCATTGTTCGGACCCCTACCATGATCGTTCAACATTTCAATCTTCGATCAATGACAAAAGTCTTGAAAGTTTTTTAGGATGTTCAGCTTAGACTATAACAAGAATAACAACAGATGCTTAAAGTCTTTCAAGATATTAATGTTGTATTTACCCAAGCCCTCACTAACATCACACAACTACTATCTACGGGAAAAACCTCACGTACTATTGTCCTTCGAATATGATACCGTTAATTATTAATGTTGATGATCACCTCATGATGTTTGTTCAAGTAGATGATAGGAAAGATATTCCCTCATCAAACAACCATCGTGTAGCTGTACAAGACCACCAACTACCTCATTATGTTACTCGCTTTTAATGATCAACATTAAACAAAAGTTGACAAAATCTATTAACGAGTTTGATCTCAAACTTTTATAGCCAACTCACATTGTTGTAAGGCCTTACTCGAAGGATTATGTGAGTCTAAAGTTTAAAGCTTTCAATAGAAAATAAGAAGACACTAAGGAGTATTTTATGAAGTTTGTAGAGACTATTGGTGTTTATAGTTTAGATGATGATTTGAAGCTAAAACAATTTTCTAAGTCCTTGACTAAGAAGGCATACACATGATAATGTAAATCTAGCACCTTGATCTATCCAAACTTAGGCAAATATGTGTAAAATGTTTATAGAAAATCTTTTCTCTACTCATAAGAGGGTGATCATGTCTAATTTAAAGAGAGAGAGAGAGAACTAGGTTTTAGAGAAGGTTTGTTGGAGTATATTGAATGGTTTTATGATTATACTTTGGACATTCAAGATAGTTTTGATGAAAAGAAAGCTATTAAGTTCGTGTATCTAGATCATGTGCGAGAGTATAAGATACATTTTGAGAATCTTGGCTCGACCACTTTTTTTACTTTGGTGAAAGGTGTTCATCATACTAATAATTTCATTTTCCTCTTAAAAAGGAATGAGTTTACTCCTTCTCTTAGTGGTGCCAAAAGAGGTCCTTCGATGATCGTTGTGTAGCTTGACAAATGACTAAATAGAAGATTGAGAGGGATGGGTTTTGAGTTGATACTTTGGGAGGTTAATCCGTCACAACCTTTTCCATGCATTGTGGATAAGGTCTATGTTCTTTTAGATTGATGGATGATCGACTAGGTCGTCAAGTTACCATGGGTAAATAAGCTACCTTCTTTGAAGACAAAGCAAAGCCTAAGTATTATCGGTACCATAGATATGTAGGTCACTCGATAAAAGATTATCGTCATTTGAGGTTTATTTTCTATTATAAACTTAATAAGGGAAAATTGTTCTTGATAATGGAGATGTTATTTAGGAGGATCCTCTCGCCATAACATCGGAATCACCATAATAATTAGGCAAATGCTATCTCACTGACCCCACCAAGTTAGAAGAAGAGGAGTTATGCGAGTCTACCAAGTTGCTCTCAACTAAACCACACCTTATGTGGAGGAAGTAGGTAGTTGGGAGCGGATGACGTTGATAACTCTATTGTTCAATCATTGTTAAAAACTTTAAACTTTCATAATCTTGTTAATTTGTTGGGATTTAATGAAGAAGATAAACAAACGACTACCATAGCCATTATGAAGATATTTAGATCTTTAAAGGTAAGTATAGTGAGTGTTTTTCAGCCAACTATCCAATTGGAAAGATGGTAAAAAAATGATGAGAATAACATGCTCTTCATTGATGTTGATTATTGTGTTGAAAAGACCAATCACAATCGTCTATTTTATGTAGAAAGCAAGGTGAATGATAGATCCATTCGCAGGACCTTTATTGATAACAATTCATCTTTAAATATTATGCCTCTTGCAACATTAAGAGAGTCGGGCATTGATAAAAAAACAAATGATTTGGGTACTAGCTATCGTCAAAGGCTATGATAGTGCTAACTTTCACGCCCAAGAACACATTGTAGTAGACTTTCGGATAGGTCATGTACGATACCCAACTTGCTTCTATGTCATTGACGCTCCTACATCCTACCACTTATTGATAAGAAGGCCTTTCCTCTATGAATACGATTTGATCTATTCAACAAAGCATCGATGCACGAAGGGATATTGGAGAGGAACGAACATTTTTATTCTTGGTGTGAAGGCACCTTTTGAGAGCCAAGAGACTCACTTTGTAGAAGCATCATTTTTCAATAAGCTTGTAGTTGATGGCGATAACAAGGATGGAAAGCTAATAAATGTCTCCACTAAACCGATGTCTAATGACAAGGTTAAAGCTACTCACAATGGCGATAAAAAGAAGAAGAAGAAGTAATAAAAATGGTAGGGTTTAAGTGAATTCTTATACCATACTTCAAGGGAAGATGATTTACCGTTTATAACGATCCGTAGGGTCCGAAGTGAAAAATCTTTCGATCCCATATCACTTAAACCACTCGATAAGTGGCTCGCTACATGTATTATGTATTGAATAAGATCTATAAAGCTCTAACTCTTTACCCATCTATATCAAGGAATAGTTTGCTCGGTAGCTTCAAGAAATGCTTAAGCCACAAGGTGAGGAATTAGAGAAAGTAAATTTGCCTAATGAAGGAGAATCACAAAGCTAGTTTTTACTAGCCAAAGCTTGTCACCGAAATAAGGGATGCTTTGATTTGAATGCTAAAAATTTTTAAAGAGGTATTTAGTTGGAATTATGAAGAGATGGTAGGAGTAGACATTAATCTTATCACTCATAGGCTAAATGCCAAAGCAAGGGGTAGGCTAGTCAAGCAACATCTTCATGTTTTTGCTCCGGAAAAGAAATGAAAATCAAGTTAGAAATTGAAAAGTTGTTCAAGGCTCAATTCATCAAGACAATCCAACGCCATACATAGTTGTCCAACATTGTCCTAATTATTAGTAAGAATAGATAAGTTAGGGTATTTATCGATTTTCATGATCTCGATAGTGCATGCCTAATCGATACTTTTCTCTTCCCACCATTGATGTTTTGATTGATGCAATCGCAGGTCATGATATGTTTTCTTTCTTTAATGGTTTTAGTGTTTATAATCGGAAAAAGTCTATGAACCTAATGCTTGTAAGATAATTTTTTACACGTCATTGGTAAATTTTTTATACGATCATGCCTTTCGACTTGA